AAGTAAAGTTCTCACATTCAAGATCTGCTGAGTAGGGATGGATTCAAAAGTCATGTTCACCACTATTCGTCACCTATTGTATGTGTCCAAAAAAAAAGATGGAACCCTCCGTCATGTAGTGGCATTACTGACTGTTGAACCAAAAGACTTTGCCTTGATCGCCACCCCCATCCCCCGGATCCAGGAAATTTTGGAAAATATCGGGCGGCAAACTCACGGGGGGCAAATCATGGTTCAATGACTGGATCAAGGCAAGGCATACCAATCCGGGATTTGTGTGTGAGCAGAGGCCGCCATCCTTAGGAAAATCCGCAAGACGGACGGGATCAGTCCCAAGCTCTCTGAGGTCCTCACCTACATTACAACCTGAGCCTTCAGCCCTGGAGAAGGTGTCCCTGATCCTGTGGAAGACCCTCTTGTGTGATCCCGGTTCCTTAAAACCGCGCAAGCCAAGGAACCGGCTCACTACAGACCAGTCGCACTGGACCTTCCCACCTGATGAAAGGGACAATGAAGCGGCTCATCTCAGCCCATCTCCGCTCTGTGGTCTAAGCCCACCCTGAACAGCTGCAGTTCGCCTACAGGCCCAATTATCGGACGTAGTTAGAGGACGCCGTTCAATCTACTTCCTGCAGCGGGACGCTCTCCCCCTGGAGCCCCACCGGGAGAGCTTGCCTTGTGAGGGTTCGTGTTCTTCGGACTTCTCCAGTGCTTTCAACACCATCAGGCCGAGGTACTGCTGCTGGGGGAAGATGGAGGATCGCAGGAGTGGACAGTAGCATCACTGCTAGACCATCGACTACCTCTCAGACCTGACCACCAGTCAACGTTGCGGTGTGGGTTCTGAGGTGTAGTCTGCAGTTGTGTGGCCCCATCTGGGCACTGTCACTCTCAACGTTTTCTCTTCACCCATCTACACTTCAGACTTCACATACGACAACACACAGCTGTCACCTGCAGAGTTCTCCGCCATAGTGGGCTGTGTGTTAGAGTGGAAACCAACTGGAATATCGTCAGTATATCACAGACTGTCGACTGGTGGAGCGCAACCACTTGTGCTTGAAACCCAGTAAGGACCAAGGAGATGATCATCGACTTCAGAGAAACCACTTCCCCACACGCTGCTGAACATCCAGGGGGGGACATTGAGCTTGTGGACAGCTTACGATTACCTGGGTGTTCACCAGTGGAGGCGGGGGGGGGGTCCCGGCTCAAAAGTGGCTAAAATGATGTCGCCGACATGCCTGCCAATTACCACCTCCGGGCGTGTGGGGTGGTGGACCCGGAATAAGAATTAAGCCAATGCTACATAGCACTAGTGGCCTGTTGGATAGCTCCAGTTAGAGCAATATTTATGGCCCCTTAGATTGTAAGGCGGAGGATCGCATGACTACTAGGGTTGGGCGATATTTTTTTTTGTACCGGCTTATAAGTAAATTAAATGATACAGAAAATTGCCTTTTATACCGGTGAAATCGATCATTTTTTAACACTGAAAACAGCGAGCGGCAAGACACGGTTGTGTGCGGCGCCACTTTAATGCGCATCTGCGCGGCCGTGTAGCAGAGAGGCGTGCAGGGACAACAACAACAGAGAGCAACACCATGCTGAGGGCGGCGCGTTTGAAGACCATTCGGTGAAGACCATGCAGATTGTAGAAGACATTTGTGCCAAAACTGAGGAGCTACCTCAAAATATTGGGAGTAGTTTGGGAAAACTAAGATCAAAAAGAAGCAATTGTGTGTAACCTATCGACAGTGGATCTAATGTTGTGAAAGCAGCAGCTGCCCTAAACCAGTGGTTCCCAAAAGTGGGGGTCCCGAACCCCCGGGGGGTCGCGGGGAACCCCTGGGGGGGGGGTCGCAAGATGATTTCCAAAAAAAAAAAAAAAAAAAAATAAAAAACATTTCGCTAATTAATAGCCCTAAATATTGATATAACATTTGATTTGATTTCAAAAGGACTACTTGTAAATAGATTGTGTTAGGAGAATATAAATTATTTAAATTACGTTTGTAATTTTGTCCAGTCATTGACAGCGTTCAATCAAAAATCAAGTTACGTAGCTTACGTTACGTCCCACGGCAGCGAACAAAGCGGTGTCCAGCAGTTGTTTGCTAAAAACCTAAATGGTGTTTGGAGGCTTCAAACAAATAATAACCTGCTTTTTTAAAATGAACGTGGTAATATCCATCTACAGAAAAACCCGGAGGGAGAGAATAAGTCACATGTTGAGGTCAGGCTCCATGGTGCGAGAAGAGGGAGATGAGGCGCGGAGGGAGACGAAGGCAGCGGTTTAGAAGCAGGGAGAAGAGGGTGGTTTAAAGAGGCCCGGCTTTTCGGACGTCAGTGGTAAAGAGGTCGCACATTAAAAGCGGGTGGGCGGGTGGACCTGCTTTATGCGGTTACTTACAGTAACTTTGGAAAAGAAAGCCGCGGGGGAGATGAAAGCGCAAAAGTCAACAGCAGAGAAAGCGGGGGGCCGCCCGCTTTTTATGTGCGGACCTCTCTTTACGTCTGACTACGAAAAGCCGGGCCACTATACCACCTCATCTACCAGCTGACTTCTCTCCCTCGCTGCCCCTCTCTCCCTCTCTTCGCACCATCAGCATGACCCTCAATGTGATTTTCTCTCCCTCCGGGTTTTTCTGTAGTGAGATATTAACCACGTTTCATTTGAAAGCAGTGTTTATTTGTTTGAGCTCCAAACACCTTTAGTTTTAAGCAAACAAAAACAAGATGGTCACGCTTGTGCTGCGTGCGTAAGCTACGTAACTTGATTTTTGATTGACGGCTGCCTCAATGAATGGACAAAATTACAAACGTAATTTAAATATTTTATATTCTCCTAACACATTAACAAGTAGTCCTTTTGAATCAAACTCAAATGTTAAATCACTAGTTAAGGGCTATTAATTAGCTAAATGTTTTTTTTTTTTTTTTTTTTTTTTGGATACTATCTTGCGACCCCCCCCAGGGGTTCCCTGCGGAACCCCCCGGGGGTCGGGCCCTCACTTTTGGGAACCACTTGTTTAGGGGCAGCTGCTTTCACAACATTAGAAATCCACTGTCGATAGTTACACACAATTGCTTCTTTTGATTCTAGTTCCCAAATACTCCCATATGTTTTGAGGTAGCTCGCGTTTGGGCACAATGTCTTCTACACTCTGCATGTCTTCACCATGGTCTTCACCGCCGCCTCAGCCATATTGTTTGCTCTCTGTTGTTGTTGTCCCTGCACGCCGCTCTGCTAACACGTGCCGCGCAGATGCGTCATTAAAGTGCGCCGCACACAAACCGTGTCTTCGCTTCGCTGTTTTCAGGTGTAATGATCGTTTTCACGGTATAAGGCATTTTCTTTATCATTTAATATACTCTATAACGGTACAAAAAAACATGCCCAACCCTAGTAGTCATGGCTATCTCCGCCTTACAATCTAATGGGCCAAAAAAATACTTGTCTACTGGAAGCTATCCCTAACATGGCCACAAGTGCTAGGTTAGAAGTTGGCTAAATCTTATTCGGGTCCACCCCACCGGCCCGTGACGGTGGTATTTGCAGCATGTCGGCGCACATCATTTTAGCCACTTTTGAGCCGGGACCCGCCTCCACTGGTGAACACCCCAGGTAATTTAAGCTGCTCCCCCAGCTCAATGTCTCCACCCTGGATGTTCAGCAGCGTGTAGGGAAAGTGGTTTTCTCCTGAAGTCGAAGATCATCTCCTTGGTCTTACTGGTGTTCAAGCACAAGTGGTTGGCTCACACATGTCGACAGCTGTGATAAAACTGACGATATTCCAGTTGGTTCCCCTTTTTCAAAAACCACACAGCCCACGATGGCGGAGAACTTGCAGGTGGACAGCTGTGTGTGTGTCGTATGTGAGTCTGAAGGTCGTTAGATGGTGAAAGTTGAAACGGTAGGAGAGGACCAGTCCCTGATGGGGCCCAGAACTGCCGCAGACTACCACCTCTGAACCCACAGCCGCACGTATCTGTGGGTCGGTCTGAGAGGTAGTCGATGGTCCAACACTTTCTTCAAGAAGTATGTAGATTTGTGGTAAACCAAACTGGAAATTATGTGCTCTGTTCAGGTGGGGGTTAAGAGGTTAAATCGGATTATGGACAGATTACAAATAAGGAAGAGGAATGAAGAAAATGTGTGTCAAAGACAACACAGCGACAGCAAAATCACATTCTTACACAAACTGTGCATCGCGCCCCTTTTCATTAACTCAACAAAACAAGCTAACGCTAGCTTTCGAAAGAAACAACTTACTTGCAGCAGCGGCAAACTGGAGCTGTTCTCCCCCGATGTTTGTGCACCTGCGTCTCGCCCCTCCGCCGTTTGACCTCCCGTTCCTTCATCAGTTGGCTGGATACCATCACGTAAATACTGCGGGTGTCTTCTTTTAATGTGATGGTAGTATGAATTGTAAACCCTGTAATCCTCCGTGCACCCGTCGATACCGCATAGCAGCCAAAAGTCCGGACTGCGGCTATGCTGTCTATTGATATGGCTCAGTAAGAGCTTCAATGAAAAAGTTGTAAAAACTGCACAAATGCAGCAGCGCCAGACCATTGTTTTCTTCAGCTCAATGTCAATAAGTTCCAAACGAACGCGCATTTCCCAAAGCTAGTTAAGTACATTCTTATCTTAGGGAGGGGGGCGTAAAATATTGACATACACGTTTGACGCATGATAGACTAGTAATGCGAGTGTCAGTCACATATTATTATACAAACATACTTTACGTAAAGAAAAAAGTGTTCTTGGCCAAAATTAACATCGTATTAGCGATTAAATGGCGACATAACATTGACTTGACACTCCCCCCTCTCACCGAATTGGTATCTTCCGACGCAATGCATCAACATTGGCGGCAAACTACGTCCTTCTTTCGGCGGTGAAACAGAAGCAGCCGTTAATTTTCAGAAAGAAAAATCGTTTTTATCTTTCTACTTTTTACTTTGGTGTTTGCTGGATATCTCGGAGAGCCAACATGGATGACGATGGGGCGAGCGAAACATATCCAGAGATTGACAGTGTGTCAGCCTCAGTATTAAAAGGTAAAATGTTTTTACCGTATTATCTTTTAGCAACATGCTAAATGCTAACTAGCTAACGCTTAGCGTGTGTTAACAGACTACTTCCACTTCTAATTTGCGTTTACCCTTGACATTTGTTACCTAGTTTTGTCATTAATGTGAATTATTTCATGTTAGTGTGCTACAGGTATACACATTTTTTTTTTTTTCTATCAAAAGAGTTAATGCACACTTATACGACTGATTGGACTATTTACTTTAATAAATAATAATAATAATCATATATTAAACTGTAATAACTGCCATATTTATGAAAATATCTGTTTTTATTAGCTGCTGGTGTGAAGATGACCATGTTGCCCAGCCTCACTAAGGAGGATTTGCGAGACCTGTTTCCTGGACCAGAAAACTTTTTAAGAAGAAGACACATTTGGCAACTTGTTCATGGTGATGTGGAGGTGAGTTGTATTTATTGTTTGTAAAAATGTTTTGCCCCGAACTATGAGAACTGAGACCAAATGTCTGTTGTGTTTATGTTGCAGAGTCAGAAATCCAATTGCCCAGTCCTTGACACTTCTGGTATTGACAGCCCACCTACACCTTTGCTTTCTTCCTCCTCTGACAGCAACATCTGCTCTCCAACACCCTTCAATTCTCCAAAACCTAAACATAAAGATTGTTCTGGTGCCACTAAAAAGGTGCGGCTCATTAGTCCAGAGTATGTCATATACACTGACACAGAACTAGAACTAGCAAGAAGTGCTTACTTCGAAAAGCAGCGTGCTGGACAAGACAATGACTACACCATGCCAAAAGACTTGCGCTGTAGACTCATTAGGAATACAGTTACAAGCATGATTGCTATCAAAAGAGCGTCCGAGGATGATTTTAAGTACCCAGGCCCCCGTGAACTGACTGCCATGGCTAAACGTCTAGTGGAATACTACCCAATGCTTCGAGACAAGTCTACGCCCAGTACACCTGAATGGGTAAGTCTCTCATTTTGTTTTGATTGATTTGATTTTTTCATCTGTTACCAATGGTATTGGTTTTGTTTTGATTGATTTGTTTTTTAAGGAAATGTTGAAGAAGCAGTTGTTGAAAAGGGTTCAGAATGTGACAACTCCAAAAAAGAAGCAAGGAGCAACCCCATCAAGAAAAGGACGTCGAAGCCTAAAATTCCAGAGCAGCCAGGAGACATGCACCGAAGAGAGTGATGAATCTTTCTCCTCCCCCTACTTCAGTCTCTTCACCTGCCTCATCAGTCGCCTCGTCCTCTGCCTCCACTGTGATCCTAGAGAAGTCAACTCCATCTACTTCCCAAGAGGATCTCTTGAGTGGTAGGTTAGAATTTACTTTACTTTTACATTTACTTAATGCTTATTGGAAAATATTTTAATTTGTATATAATGTATTTTTTTACTTTCTGTATACTTTTTGTTTGTTATCTATTCCCAGAGAGCCCACAGAGCCAAGCAAGACACTATAAAACTCTACAGGATATGTACAAAACTAAGAACAAACCAAACAAGGAAGATGTATCTCAGCTGTTGGAACTGGAGTTCCAATCTAGACGGGCTTTCATTGACTCTGATGTGATGAAGGAACAGGACAGGCCTACGAAGATACTGCAGGCTTATCCATGTTTTAAAGAACTTAGCCATGTAAGTATTTTTTTTCTCACTTAACTTGTATATTTCACTAGAGCAAAGGCCTCTTAATTTATTTGTATTATTTTAAATCTCTCACTGTTAGATCATCGATGAACTTCACCGAATCCTTGCAAGAGGAAACCCCTTCTTCACAATGGAGCTGAAGAAACGTTGGCTGAGATTTTTTAACCAGGCGCAGTTTTCTGGGGTGTTCAAAAAATTCATAGGGCCACCATTGCAGGACCAAGGTAAGGATGATTTATCAGCTGTTACCCACATACAAAGGCCTAAAATGATTCTGATGTATTCTTATTGTTTAAACAGTAAAGAATGCACTTGCTGTCCTGAAAGTACTGCCTCAGATGTTCCCTTCGCATGTAGGTCTGCCGAAGAGGTTGGGACACCCAAGTGATGCTTTGTTTCACATTTTGACGGTAAGAATATTATATATATATTTTTTTGTTATGTTTACGTTCTGTCTATGTGTTTGTCCCAGTTGTTAAGGAGTGTTTCTATTATCATGTACTTTGTTCAAACTTATGTATTTGGGTGAAGATTTAATTACTTTTTTGTTTTAGTCAGCAGAGGACCCCAACACTTATCTTCAATCAAGACCCTTGGTCAGCCCTGTGGTGATTGTCTGTGAGACAAACTGCATCCTGGCCATTGGAACGGTTCCTCTGCTTACTTTCCCCAAAGAAGACCTCAGTGAAAGTGTGATGTATCTCCTTGGCTGTTATTACACCTTTCACCTCACATACCCTAAGTGCATTGGTACCCTCCTGTCTGTGCTACAGACGGACGTTTTGTTAGATGCCATCCATGAGAAGGACATGACTACTTCCTACAAAAAAGCTATGGCTGAATGGAGAAAGTTTCATGAATAAGACCATTCAAACATCAGTTTTAGTTTTAAGTAGTTCAGCAGCATTGAGTCCCTCCTAAAATGTGGCTCCTGTTCAATTAGGGCTGGTTGATTTTGGAAAAAAAGTAATTTCCCCATATTGATCAATCTCAATTTTTGTTTAAGTTTTGTAGAGATTGAAACTTCGATTAAATTTCGATTAATTGCCCAGCCTTATGTTCAAGAGATTGGCTATTGGTTTTTGCTGTGGTTTGTGGTCTTGAAACTGATTTTGCACAATAAAAGAGTGGAAAGATATAATGTTCTTTGTTTTATTATATAACTCTTGTTTTAAGGTTTTTAGTCTTAAATTAAATTCTGATTTTAAGCATATTTTTCTTGTAAATAATTACATTTAGGTGAAATGTGCTTGTTTTTAGAATAGCTGTGCCTATTTCAAGTTCTAATTAGTAAGCTAATTTTTCTTATTTATAGTAATCAATTCTAAATAGGCCAAAAATAAGTGAATATTTCTGATATTAAGAAACAATTTCTAAACATTATAGCTTGAAAAAAGACAATATTGCTTATTTTTGGTCTAAATATACTAATTTCAAGATCGCTGTGGGTCATACAGGGCTAGTATTATTTTCTTATTTTTGAAAATCTTACCAAGTAAAAATTTCTTGTTCTGTTGGCAGATAATTTTGCTTATTTTAAGTATTATTTTTCTTATTTTAGCTTTTTTTTTTCTTATTTTTTTAAGTGGACTTTTTGCAGTGCAGGCCGCTATCGCCTTTCGGGACATTTGGGTGATATTAAAGTCAAATTGAAGACACAAATGATGTCTTTGAGGAATGGGTTTATTTCTTTCTCAGAGCCATCAGGAGCGATCCGTTCTGTCGGAGTAAGCTGTCAGGTAATAGTCGCTGGCAGAAGTCACCAGAGACCCTCGCCAACTCTGCATCTCAAATAAACGGCCCGCGAGGAGGCGGAGCGGAGTGGAGTGCTGCCGCCAACAAACAGCAATGAAAGTGTAATGAATAGAGTCGTCTGCACAGTGTTTGGGGTAATAGAAGTGGATGTTACAGCGAGAGAACTTTTAAGGGAGGAAAGAGTGCGCTGGACCAATACGATGCAAAGTGTGGAAAGAAGCGATACATGGTCACGACTGAACAACAAAGCCCAAATATTCAACACACGAGGCAGGGCAGTTGGATTGGATCGTGATGGGGACTTAATGTAATGTAATCGTATGGCCCTTGTCATTTACACACTCATGTTGTTTTAGAGGAATTGATGCATGTTTGAGTAATTTCTCTTTTTTTTTTATTCATTAAACACAATAAAACAGATAGACCCATCAACATTCAACAAGATTACAAAAATAACACAACATAAAACAAAGCCAAGACAATAAAAAAACAACAACAAACGTTCACAAGAACACAAAGGTGATAAGTATGCAAACAAACTGAGATTTTTATGTTAAATGGAGACTCCATGGGTGTGTGGGTGCTGTGGTGTTTGTTGAACCTCATGATCACGGCCCAATCCTCTAATCCGAGGTACCCTACCATGTTTGAGTCATTTCTATTCCCTTACATGCTGGGAAACAAATGCTGTTCCTTGACTCCTTGCACAAAAGGCACCAAGCCACAGATGATCTGACTATGAAAAAGTCCTACTGTATATCAACGTCAAAGTTGTTTGCACAGACTAAATGTTTCAATGGGTCAGGGCTAGAGTAGGGTTAGGGGTTGGAAGTCAGGGGGGAAGACTAGATAGATAGACACTTTATTGATCACTGCAGGAGAAATTCAAGTGTCCAGTAGCAGCAAAAATAAAAAATGAAATAAAGTAAGTAGTAAAGTAATAATGAGCAACAGCCCTTCAGGTCACAGCAGCAGAGGTAGAGTAGCCTCTGGGTGGAGCAGGACAGGTCACAAGATGGAGTAGCCGCTTGGTTTGGACCATTTTCTCTGCTCTAGTCCAAAATAAAATGCTAAATGCGTCATTAGCATTTTTCAAAGAGTTAGCATTCCTCCAGTGGATTTTTGGCTAATACACTTGGTTCGGACAATGAATCCTCTCAGCTCTGGTTGGGACCAGTGCAACACTATGCACACTGTACTGCAGCAACATCTCAAGTAGAAAAAAAAGCAATAAAAAAACAACAGTTTCAGAGCTACTTAGGACTTGTTGTCATTTTCCAACGCATTCAATAGCAAACATGACTATGGTTAAGGTTCAGGCTCAAATTCTCTGAGGCTGGGGTAAGGGTTAGAAATAGTGTTAGGGTTATGTAACAGTGATCCTAGACTGATCATTACTTGGTGACATCAGCGTGTGCCCAAGCCACACCCACTGGATCAGTGACGTTGCAAGAGTAAGTAAATGACAACGTGAAGCCCTCAGAGGAGGGAGTTATGGAGGGAGAGTCATTGGGTCAGAGAGTGTTTGAGACCTGTGTCTTTCCGAGTGTGTGTGTTTGTATCCTGTTAATGTTTTTGTCTTTTGGTGTTCAAGTTTGAAATAAATAATGATTATACCAAAAGCCAAGAGCAGATCCATCTGAATTATGCAAGTGCACAGACTTGTGTAAGTAAGTAATGTTTATTTATAAAGCGCATTTCATAGACCAAGGTGTATAATTTCCATTCACTACATAAACGACGATGACAGAAGTGTGACATTGAACACCTGGTGCTGTTTAACGAACAGTGTTCTAACAATGATAAATTTCTTTCCTCTTTTCATCGCTTTGAATTCATCCATTTGCTGATTTATCTATACCTCTCTAGACTTTGAAAACACAACAAATGCAGCAGCTCCAGTCCTGACTAGAACCAGTAAGTACAATCACATTAGTCCAGTCCTCAGGTCTCTGCACTGGCTTCCTGTGGCTCAGAGAATAGACTTTAAAACAGCTCTGCTTGTTACAAGTCTCTCCATGGACTCGCACCAAAATATATTAGTGACATGTTAGTCCCATATGAACCAGCCCGGACTCTGAGGAGCACAGGGACTGGACTCCTGTTAGTGCCCAGAGTCAGAATATAACATGGGGAGGCTGCTTTTCAGATTCATGCTGCAAAAATCTGGAACAGTCTTCCTGAAGATATGAGACAGGCCTCCTCTCTGACAATGTTTAAAACCAGGTTAAAAACAGTTCTGTTTAGCTGTGCATACAACTGAGGGATTTTATATTTTTGTTATTTTTTATTTTTATATATCTTTCTTTTTAATGTACTGTGATTATTTATGATTTTAATGCTATTTTGTGTTGTTCAGCACTTTGAATTGCATTGTGTATGAATTGTGCTATACAAACAAACTTGCCTTGTCTTGCCTTGCTTTGTAACCAGAAGATTTTTAGACATTTTGAACGGGACAGTGCATACATTAGTTGACTTTGACTTTTGAACATGTCATGGGTTGGTTCCTTTTGGCATTCCAGATTGTTTATTGTTTGTTAAGCTCAAATATAAGTATGAGTGGTAAATTCAAACAACTAACCAACACCAAGGAATCAATTTTTTTGTAAAAGTCTGGATAAAACAAAAATACCAATTGCTTATCTAAAAAATAAATGGTATCTAACACCAAGAGGCTCTTGATAAGGTGCAAATGTGAGGGGAAAAAATTAAAAAACATGGCACACTCAAAAGCATATGTCAATGACATATTAATGTTATTTAGTAGATGACATTTCAGCTGAAATAGCCTTCACCAGATTTTAATGTTGTCTTTCTTTGGACATGTTTATCTCAGTCACCCTCCAGTACCACCCCGTCAAACCAATGCAACCAACCATTTCATTTTTAGCATTTTCTTCTCTTCTGTTTGGATCCAGCTGCCCTGCTAACACCGACATGTCTTTGGGCGATGGAAAGAGGCCTCAGAACTCACTGTAGCATTCTTAAATATTTCTCATTTGTATTGAGTTTCTGCCGGGGGCTTTATCACATATTTCAACCTGTCCTAAACTTCAACCGGCAACAAAAACCATCCAGACCCCTAACCCTAACCCCACTTGTTCATCAATCACCATTTTTTTCCTCGTCATCTTTAAACAGAAATGTTTACGGGCTTGAATGCAACCAGCAGAAATTAAGTGCTACTCAAAGTGCGAAGAGGAGGGTAGAGATTTGTCTATCTTGGGAGGAATCTTGGCTTGCTCCATAACGTGCTAATGTCAATCAACTACTCTCATAAGAAGAGGCCAATTAGAGGTTTGATACCCCTGCTCCAGCTTTGAATGATGAAGAAGCCATAGGGATAAGCAGAAATCAGATTTCATAAATAAACGTGCCAATCGCCAACGGGAAAAAGATAAACTTCTGGCACATAAGAAGTCTCGCACATATTGGGTTCTGGATATTCTCCCTTAGCTTTTATTAGAAGACAGTCCAATCAGGTGGCAGCGGTGGCAGGGTGCAAGAGGTGGCTTATCGTATTTTTGATTTAAAAGCTATCGTTACTGCTTAATAAGTGACGGCCCAGCGTGTGGATATTGAAAGGAATTCCCGCAGTAATGAAATCTATGGCAATGACAGGCAGGTGTGAACAAGTGCGGGTCTATGGGAGGGATGACAAGAGAAAAGCAGAAAGGAACGACCGTCGACGGCATCTAGAGCCTTCATCATTGCTCTCCAACCAACATTTTTTTAGCGGTGGTTATTCCAAGGAGTGGGACTGCATTAAAATGGGGGAAAAAGTATGAAGTCAGCCACTAATTGTGCAAGTCTACCCCATAAAAAGATAAGAGATGCCAGTATTTCTTTATCGTAGCACCACCAATATGAGAAACAAAATGTGATTTTTTTATTTGCAAATTATGATGGAAAATAAGCATTTAGTAACCTACAAACAAGCAAGATTCATGGCAATCACATGTATGTAACTTTTTTAAGCTCCTCTGACAAGGACAGTGATCCCCAACACACTCCCCGCGCCTAGTCAGTCTCCAGATCTAAACCTCGGAGAACATTTTTGGGGTGGAGGAGAGTTGAAAGTTTGTGTTGCCCAGCGACAGCCCCAAAACATCACTGCTCTACAAGAGATCAACTTGGAGGAATGGGCCAAAATACCAGCAGCAGTATGTAAATAAACCTTGTAAATACACCTTGTAAAAACATTTCACCTTTATCAATTCCTACAAAGAGTATTTAACATAAATACTGGACTAATACCCACTCTGTAATAGATTTTTTATTTTATTTTGCCTCCCATAGTTGAACATAACGGGCACCTTTCATCTTTTAAGTGGGAGGACTTGCACATTTTTTCCCACTGTAAATTTATTGCTTTTGAAAATAAGTTACTTTACTTCATTACACACAAATGGTCAAAATAGGCAGTAGTGCAGACATCACTTTTAAAGGCTCAAAAAGGTGATATGTCTTGTGTCTTTCCAAAGCTAATACATGCGTCATACACTTTTAAGGACACAAAGTTTAACCGCTGCGTCTACACAGAAGAACCCAGTGCATGCGATGCATTTCCTTGTTTGTGGAAGACATTGCTTTTAATTGCTGCCTTAAGATTTGAGACACCAAAAGTTAGTACCAAAACTGAATGCATCCCATTAGACGCAAGTATTTCAAGAATATCTGGGTTACATGACCACAATAATGAACGCTCTATTTCCAGGAATAATACATACAATATATAACATTTATTCATTATGTGTTCTGATTTCTACTGTCCAAATCATCCAGCTGTTTTCTTGACCCGTTCTGTCATGAATCATGCAAATCTATATACATTTCATTGCACTCTAAAAGAGTCAAAATGTCACAAAATGTCAGACTTTGTCCGCGTAAATGGGTAAGATATGAGGTCAGATTGTATATTAAAGTCATCAATATGTGAGCGGATCTGGCGTGCGGGAAGGGGAGGTGGTTTGACCGCTCCCTCGTTTTTCTGAGGCTTCTCAAACAGCCCCTTGTGTCCGCTTGCATTGCATCCCTGCGGGCAGCTCAAGCGTGGAGTGTTTTAAAGTCAGCTGCAGCCAGGACCCAGCAAAC